AAATAAAGAAACCAAGTTACAATAAGCACAAATGAGAAACCACACCTTGAGCATATAATCAGGACAAGAATCTTCCAGGATCCAATTTGAAGCCTTTCGAGAATAATATGCAGAAGTATCTTTGAGCATGGCAGCTTCAAAATCATTCTCATAGTGATCCATTTGCCCCATTCCAATTTCAACAAATATGTCTAATACATTCTTTAATAAAGCTCTATCAATCTGCTCTCCCTCACGTTCTTGATCAATCTTTGAAAAAAAATTGGATTAGTTGATTGATCTAAATCTGTAAACATGGAAAATCTAGAATATTAAGGAAGAAAAACATACAAGTGAAATGACTGCATCTCTTACTTTCCCATTTAGTTCCTTGTAAACCTGTAAATAATAAAACCCATAAATTTATTTTGTTATTATAGCCATGGTTGTTAAACTCGAGTGTTAACTCATAAACTCAGATAGTTTATGATCCCACCTATCCAAAAGGAGCCAACAAGCATGCAAACTCATTTTCTGGTGAACTCATGTAGAATTGGATAAACTCACATAAAATTGTGAGTTGGGGGTTGATTCTGAATTTTCATAAAATTCATCCAAACATGCAAAAAAACCTCCTGAAACAATGTTGTTTTTGCTTATCCCCTTTATAACTTCGGCTTTCTTCAACCTAAGCAATCAAACCCACAACAAAACCCTCGAAGACAAACTGCTCTGCCTCACTCGTGGCTTTCAAAATTTGTCACCAACTCTCTGTTCTACAACTTCAGCACCAGAAACCTGCAAGCTAGCTAATGTTCAGCACATTGTGAGACTACCGCTGTCGACCAATTTCCATTTTGGGCCTGCAAGTTGCCACAACCACATCTGCTCCTGCTGCAAGTCTGCAACACGAGCTAGCTGCTGTTTTACTGCATTAATGATACTCGACCTCATGAGTTAGCTGCTACAACCACTGCAAGCTAGCTGCTGATTTGTGTTCTGAGCGATGCTCTTGTGACTCCTGAGGCTGCAATCTGTGACCCACTATCTGACTTGTGCCAAGTCTTGTGGGTGACACCCTTGTCACCAAAAGCTATTGGCTCAGCTTTGATTTCCATTCGTGTTCCGATTTTGTTATTAAAATTTAAAACTGGAATGCATTATGGTGTGCAGTGTGCTTGATCATTTATGTATAATTTTAACTTGTTTTATGACACTTAATTACTCTAGTGTGCTTTATTGTGAAGTTGGAGTGTAATTTTATCATTTTATGGTATTATATTTGATATGCATAGTATGGTTACAATTTTTTATCATTATTTTAGTATAAGCCAAACTCTTTAAGACTTTATAAATTGAGTTTACGAGTCAAGTTTATGTAAACTCTCGAGTTTAACAACCTTGGTTATAGCTGCATTAAATGACATCTATAGTAGGAAAGACATCCAATTGGCACTAGCATAACAAAGTGTGCCTTTATTCATAACATGGACAAGATTAGCTAATTGAAAGAATTAGGACGACATCAAGTAAGGTTCATTGTAACATTACCAAATCACGGAAGCAAGTCAACCCAACTTCATTAAGGGGTGGAAGTGACCTCCGAGCAATAAAGTACCGATCCAAATAGTGAAAGAACCGAGAAAGCCACCTAACCATAATTTTATGGTTTGCCCACCTCTTCACAAGTTCTCTCAACATAAATTCATCATGCTTCTCTCTCAAAGAAGGCAATACCTGAATTCAAAAGGAAAAATAAAATGAAAAAGAGGGAAAAGATATCATTTTATTATAAGAAAACTTGACAAAATTAATAACTAGCACATCCATCAAATTAATTGAAAACAAACAGACAATATAAACATATTATAGTCGAAATGTATTAGATAACTGCCTGGTTGGATAACCAAGAACTCCCATTTGTTGGAATAAAAATGAAGTTGCACAGTCACTGGCTGTGTTTGGGTAATATTTTGGATTCTCAAAATCAATTTTACAGCAAGCAGAATTGATTTTTGTTTGTATCTGATTTTCTTCCCCTTCCATTCAAACTCATCTCCCTGAAACATCCTAGGATAGCTTGACTGTGCAGGGAATTTCTCTTAAACAAATATTTTTTTAATATTGTTGAATAAGTAATATCATTTCTTTAATCCTGTGTTCTATCTTATTCTTCAGAATGCTTTCAATTTCACTCGTCACCCTCATAAAGATTGTCCATAACTTTACATATGTCCACTGCAGCATGTGCTGCTACTTACCACGTGTTCTTGAACAGGATACCTCAGCAGATGCAGCTTCAATGATAGTCACTTGCTCTCAGTTTAATTTTCTCCATTGTTTGACTATTATAAGTGATCTGTGTTGTGGCTGCTGCCATAGCACATCCTTTACCTCCAAAAACTGGATGCATGGCTAGTGGTGTTGCCATGAAAATATTTGTCATCAAGCATGCCTCAGTCTCTAGTCTCTACATGCCTTTCCTTTACTCATTTCTATGGTTCACTGGTGGCTCTTAGGATAAAATGCTATAAAACATGATTCCATGGCTATGTTTGCACGAAATTAGGTACACTGATCAATCAAACCACATTTATATACTAACTTTGAATCTTTTAGGACTACCTCACCTAATATATGAACTAGATGACACATTTTCCTAGAAGAAAGATGTGTGAATGTCCCAGGAGTGTACTAAAATAATTAACTTGCGCTTATACAACCTATGCCAATATCAGTAACATAGATTCAACAAATATCAGAATGTCAATCTCAATACTATAGAGCCAACCTTTGTAAGCAAATAAGGACAACAAAGTAACACATGATACAAAAAATAATTCAAGTTTACTTAAACAGTTAATCTTATGATACCCAAGTGAGATTGTCACTAACCGTTGATATGATGTACTCTTCAAATGATTCCCTGTACTTGTCATACAGTTGCTGGGAATAGTCATGAGGAGGCTTTTGAGTGCACATATTGTATATGGTCCTGCAACATTATTCCAGAAAAAGCAATGCCCAAAAGGAAATATAGAAAAAAAAATCTCAAAACCAAAAACAGTTAAGAGATTAATACGTATAAAGCATCATATAGTCCTCAGAGCTGAACTGGGGCTCAGGCAAGCCTTCTAGAATGTTCTTGAGCTTTGTGATTCCCTTCTGCATAAAATCCCATCCTTGTTCTAGGTCGGTAGTCTTCCGCTCACTCATTGACATGGTGGCAAATGGAAACACCAAAATCTGCACTGAAACGTTGAATAATTGCACATGAAAAATCCAAATTGATAGACATTAAGAAGGAGGAATGAAATCACAAGGAACAAAACAGATTTCGTAATTACAAATGCGAAGAAGAAAAGCAGAATGGATCGGTTTGGAAGATTGAAAGAGGAAGGGGAAACCTTGATTGAAGAAGGAGAGAGAAGCGGAGTGGAATCGGAAAAAGAACCCTAGAAATGGTTGGTGAAGGAGGGAAAGGGAATGGTCCAAAAGGACCAAAGGGAAGAAGAAGACCAAAGCAGAAGAAGCATTGATGGCAAAAGGAAAGGGAACACAAGACCCCTCCCAAAAAAAAAAAAATCCCCCTCAACCAAAAATTGCTCTTTCAGTGTCGGGTATTTTATTTAATTGGAAAATTCCTTCTTTTATTATTTTATCTTAATTTATAATTTAATGACTGAATTGAATACAATCTTATTTTATTAATTATTTTTGTTCGTGAATTGAAAATTTATTTTGTGAAAAAAGTCAGGTACGAGAAAAGTAAGAAAATATTTTTTCTTTCAAATCATAAAAGAGTTGTCATCAGTACAACTCAACCCAATTGAATTAGAGACAGTAAATTTGTGTAAAATTAATATAGAGAAGTAAATTCTGAGAAAAAAGATGCATTTTATGTGAATTAAATTTATTTTGGTATTGAATTTAATAACTCAAATTTTATTTAGTTAACTTATTTTATCAATTTTAATTCACATATTATATATATTTTTTTAATTTCTATTATTGTTACTACTTTTATCATAACTATTGCAATCATCCTCAAATAAATTACGGATTAACTTAAATAGATATTAATTTACTATTTTAATTCACATTAATATGTTTTCTCATTCTTAATTACCAGTGTTTCTTATTGCCAAGTTGTAAAATTCTCTTGCCAAAGAGTTGATTGTTTAGAATAAGATAGAATTTCACATTTAATATGTTGCAAGTCTTAACTTTCTTCTATCTATTCAGAGGGACAAATGTAAGTATTTTTTAAGTGTTTTCTAAACCTAACAGTTTTTTTCTACCTTCAATTAAGATGTCGTTACCTCCCTCTAAAAGTTTGTTTATAACAAAATTGAGTCAAAATTTACTTATGGATTTGTTTAGAGAAATATAACTGACACCGTTTGTAAATGATTTATTAAGGTTTTATAGCTAATATGTTAGTTAATTGAACAAATGTGAACTATGTTTATTTCAGTTTAAATGTAGAAAAAAGTTTTAATAACTTTTTTTTAAATTAGTAAAAGTTTTATTATTCTTTTAAAATAGGTTTTTTAAAGTTATTATTCGTTGACAATAAGTTAAACTAAGCATGTACATATTTATTGAAGTATGCGTTATCTTAAAAAATATTTAAAATCTATTATCAGATGTTTTGCATACCGAGAGTAGTAATGACACAGTGCATTTAATTGTAAGTATAAAAAATATAATTGGACACGATTGATAAATGAAGCGAAAATATGTATATATTATTTTTAGTAAAACAATAAAAAATTCATTTAAAAAAATTAGATTTAATATTTTTCCTTACGAATGAAAGATGAATTTGTAAAATCATACATATCATTTGACTTTTTATTTATTACATAATTTTATGTAGCAGTGAATGTGAAACATTTATAAATTAATTTTCTAATCTTATCATTTTCTTCATGGTATATAAAAACTACATGATACAGTCGAATTGCACATTTCAATTAATCTCAAAATATCAGTTGTGTAAAACAATTATTTACCCAAAAAGAAACAATAACAATTAATACATACTATAGACATTGATAATTAAAAAACACCCATCCAACAAATAAAGTGACAAAAAAGTTGAAAGGATAATCTAAACATGAAATGAACTAGCTTGAAATATATTATATGTCATGTTCCTCTGGGGTAAAATCATGCTTAATGTTAAAGATATTGCGAATTTCCTCTGCAGTTTTGCACTTCATTATGTCTCCAATTTTATTGGTTGTGAGATCCAGCAAGCTCTTAATGTTAAAATAGTTCGAAGCCAAAATAAGATCAAATATAGCCTGATGGTTAACATCTAGGAATTCAGCATCCCAATCATTGATATCAATATTTGATATGTGTTCATCATAATTGGAATTGGAAACTTCCGTGTGCTTTTTGCAGTATTCAATTACCATGGCCAACATTTTGCTACTAACTCTTGAAACAGGAATGCTAATGCTATCAGTATCATCAGTAGGATGGGTTTCAATAACATCCTTGATTGTTTTTGACATAAGTGCCAACGCATAGTCAACTTCAAACACGTCTCCATTAGAGCTTATCAAGTTGATTTTCTTTGATGAAGGAATAGGATTGTCATTCAATTTCTCTTCCTGCAACAAATACTAACCCCTTAGCCTAAAATATTGGATGCATTATTTCGTAATTGGGCATATGAACAACACTAGCTTCTATTTCTTCTCATTTTTATTTTAGTAGTAAAAGAAGTTGTATAAAAATGTTGTAGGATAGAAAATTTATTTTGAAAACAAGGTGAGATACTTAACATTATACAAGGTTTGCATTCATCATTACTATGCTATTGTTTGGTATTCAAGACAGAGGACAAAAGAGTGGTTACTTCTTTACCTGTTTTCGATTTTGGGGAAAATGAATATAGGCAGTGCCATGTGGTTGAGTAGCTCTGTTAGTCGTGAAGCAAATGTTTCTATTTGTGTGCTTGTGTGTGTGTATTCTTGTTCTCTTTTGGGAGACTTTTCTTCATAAACTAAAACTACAACTTTTATTAACTATTTCTTAACACGTGCTAGGCACCCTGTCTTGCACACCTCCCATTTTTCTCATGCTCTAGTTACCATTTGAGAAAAATAGGACCAACATGGACAAATCAAATGATAACAGATGTATCAGTAGTCTTACAATTGTAATAAAATGAACAAAAATTGTTCGGAAATTAAATGGATGAAGGAGAAAAGTATCAATTGAAATATTTATTTTTCTCAAGCTAAGGATTTAAATGGAGGATCGCAAGGTTCAAGGTCAAGGGTGATCTACATATTTTTCTCAACTTGTAAAGAAATAAACTTTCTGAAGACAATTCAAATTAAGAACTCGACATGAGTTAAATTGTTACCAAATTGAAATATTGAACTCTGTATCTTTCCTCTCTAAAGTATTTAGTGGTTAAAAAATAGCACAAACCTTAAAAATAGAAATTGACCTGAAAGTAATGTTCCTAAAGATACAAATAGTAGCACAAAACCAACCAAAACATGTTTTAAAGGAACTCATGCTACATGAGCATGCAGTTCAGAGTAATAAAAATTTGACCGATCAATTAATGCAATTTTAAATTTTCCTTAACAGAAAATGAATTTAACAAAAATTACCTTTGGTGTGTCATTCTTAAAGGAAGAACTTGCAATCCAATTTGAGGCTTCCTCATAAAGTGCTGCATTATCTTTAGTCATTCTTACTGCAAAGTGTTCTGTATTGTTTTCCCTTGGGATATTTCCCATCTCTGAGTAGATAGCCAACACATTATTAACCAATGTTCGATCAATCTGCTCTCCTGCACGTTCCTGATCAATCTGAATACCAGGAAACGAAGATAAAAGAGTCATTAGAAAATTGTAATGAGTCATGAAAATAAAAATCACAGTGATGAAACCAAATTGCATTTTTTGATAGATTATGGTAGCATTTTGGAAGACAAGTCCATCAAATGGAACAGTATAAGGAACATAATTAAATTACTGCGATTGCACTAAGTAACAAAATTATAGAAACATTATTCAAGCATCATTAAAGTGCATTAAAGAATTTCAGACATGATGAAACCCTTTTTTCCAATTAAAATGTAACACCTGCATTAGAAAAGTTACTTGACAAACCAATCCTAGCAGTATCTCTTGGTCTGTCAACCCAAACATGAAGTAGGAGCTTGTTTGTAATGCAATTTAATTTCTCAGTTAAATTTTAAGAACAAAAAAAAAAAAGAGCATATATATATGAAAATAGAAAATGAGAAATACCATATATAGGATAGAGACTACTACTTGATTATTCATCTCATCATATACCTGGAACACATGAATGACAAAAACTGAGTTAAAATAGGAGAAAGAGGATAAACAACATAATATCAGAAAATCATATTGCAACTTTTCAAAGTAATCTCATCACCAACCAAGTCATGGAAGGTTAAAAAACTAATTTCTTCCAGAGAAGGGAGCTTCCATCTAGGGATGTGGTATCTTTCAAGAAAATGAAAGAACCGTAAGAGCCAGCGGGTCATGATTTTGTGATTTGACCATCTTCTTAGTAGTTCTCTCAGCAAAATTTCATTTTTCTTTCCTCGCAAAGATGGCAGAACCTAGTAAAAAGAAAAAATTATTAATTTTATGGCTGATTCACGTGAATAAATGAAACGCTAATATATTTAAGTTCGTATCAGAAATTAAACTTACCATGGAATTAATATATTCTTCAAAGACCTTCTTATATTGGGCATACAATAGCTTGGAATTTTCATCACCCAATCGGTCAGTGCAAAATTCATAAACAGTTCTAGACATCTGAATTAAGACCATCCAAGACCATAAAAAGGGTGCAAAATTCTACTTTTAGCCTTGAGATTGTATGAGCTAATCACTAAAATATTTTATTTTATAAGTCCATTCGCGCTGGATATAACACAGTAAGAAAGAATAAGATAAAAACATAACATGACCAGGGCGTTTAATGCACAACAAGATAGCAAATTAGATACATTATATTTTTCTGTTTATTTCTAATCTCTGTTTCTTACAAGATAAACTTTATCTTAGAGTTAAGGATAAGATAAATTCAAAGGATAAACTTATTATATGTTATCGGTTTAAAAATATATAAAAAATAAAATAAACTATCATTTTCTTTTATCTTATTCACCAAACAAGCCCATAAATTTTTACTTTAAACCCTAACTTTGTAAAATATTAAAAAATTGTCACTGAAATTAAATTGAGGGCAGAAGTTCTTAACAAATGTAATATAGGAAACATACAAATTGACTGGAAGTCTTCAATTCGAGGAAATCTGGAATTTAGTGATGCATTGCCAAATACTATAAAATCAGAGGATCTAAGAAAAGTTTTAAGTTATGTTGGTTTCAAACTCTCCTCAGATACAGAGAAGGGTAAGTTGAATTGGTGCTTTTTGTACAAGTCATGCCAAAATAAACTGATCCGAAGGAACTCAACAAGAATGAAAGAAAGTTAACCAATGAAGTTAGTGAAGGATACGTATAATAGGACATGTATTCCTGAGAAGTGAAACTTGAGTTGTCTACCCCTTCTATTTGGTTAATGAGTTTGTTCACTGCTATCTGGAGCAAAGGCCACACTTCTTCAAAACTCATGCTGGTTTTCTTGCATTCCTCCATGCTTGAAGTCATAGGCTCTGAATCAGTAGCAACTATCTCGAATGAAAAGAATAATAGGTAAAGGGAAAGGGTCAAATAAAGGTATTGATATCCATTCATAGTGAATTGACTGAAGAAAAGACACTGGTTGTTTTCTATTTGTACACATGAAAGGTAACACTTCCGGTCAGTTTATTTCCCATAAAAATAAATGTCATAGCCGCCAGGTTTGAAAATTCAATACCATATTGTCATATATGTGTGTGTATGGCAGCACTATCAATGTAAGAACTAATGGAATGAATATAGTAGATTCTTTTTAAATTAGGGAGTATATGATTTAACTAAAAATTAAATGTTCACTCTATTATAATATATCTAAATTAATCATTGAGGAAGAACTTCTGCTACACATAACAAATCATACAAATTTACGAGTGTTTAAAAGATTATCAACCGCTGCTTAAGATACATTACAAAATTTTCAGCCACATTTTTGTGGCTCCGAGATTACAATGGGATGTGTCGGTTGAGAGATATCTAAAGCTTCAGTCTAATCAGAGACAGTTGTTGCTAAAATAAAAAAATAAAATTAGACACAGCTTCGTTTGACCGAAAAGAGAGAGAGAGAGACAACTGAGTGAACTGTGTGTTTCCCATATGTTATTCTGAAAGGAATACTATGGCAACGCTCATAATATCTGTTATCCGCAAAAGATAAAAGAGGTCCAACAAATGGCTGGTAAATGGTAATTTGGTATTTATATTTGGACTTTGAATCTTAATTTATATTAGTAAGTACTCCAACATTGATGAGTGCTTAATTTATTATTTAGATTAAATTTTAAAAAATATCTAACTTTATAAAATAGTATAATTAATTTGAGCGTTTTGAAATTAAAATTCAAGAAATTAAAAATCCTATGTTTCATTTTTAAGGAAACAAACTAATGTCAGAAATTCAGTCATTTTAAAAAACCGTATTCCAATTTATATAATGAATAGATTTGAAAAAAATTAATTCAAGGATATAAACAATTAATATAGAATAACTAATCTTAGATGCACGTTATTGTGACATTACTATAAATTAGTTATTAAATTCTAAAGACGACTGTGTATTAAATCAACATATGCCAAGTTCCTAATTTTGAAATTGATTGCATGTATAACCTATCATCACTTACTTCAACTCTACCAATTATTCCATATTTCCATTTCAACTTTATACATTTTAATACTTTGCATCTGTTTCAAACTATTAACTTTCAGTCCTACTTTTTCAATTATATTTTATTATTATTAAAAATTATTTTTTATTGATTTTATAATATTTGGTTACATTTGAAATTATTAAACCTATTCAAAAAAATAGTTTTTAATTAATTTTTTCAAAATAATGGTCCTTTACGATTTTAAAGTAGAATTATTTTTTCTTTCAATTTTTTCATTAAGATTATTATTATTATCTTAAAATCTATTTTATATCTTTTTTCTATTTATTTATTATATAAAAAATTCTAAAATAAATTAATAAAAAAATTCATAATACTTGTGATAAAAAAAATAATTAAATATATTAATTTTTTTTTACCATAACTTAAAACGACTATATTTTAAGATACCAAAAAAATAATAATTTAAAAACTATTAGAGTGGTAGACATTGTAATAGAATTAAAATATGCACGTCGACATGGTAATTTTGAAGGCTATACTCCCTGCAGTCAATAATGAAAAAATATTATAAAACTTTGAGTGACTTTTCGATTAAGAGTTGGCATATGTGTTATATGCAAAGTAATTAAAGAAATTGTATGATCTTTCTCAATATGTTAGAGTCGTTACGGCAAAAGTAATTGTTTTCTTTATTTTTTAGAATGTATTGTATTATGTATCCTCCAATTTCATATACCTATAAACGTAGGAAAGAAAGGGAGAAAAAATGTCATGACTCAAGAATAATATTCAGGTCGAAGTTATTAATACACATTAACCAGTTAACATATTTAGTGATGACAAGTAAAAGGAACTGTTATACAGTCACAGGTAAGAAGACCAGTCTTTCTTATAACTATACGTAGATAATTAAAATTACAAAAGTTTATGATTAAATTTTGATTAGTCGTGTAAGAACAATGCTTTAGATGTATACAATTAACCTCTATCTAGGAAAAACATGGATTTTATTGCACTATTAATCTAGCTTTATAATGTGCACTAAGAACAAAGTTAATTGTGCCCACGGTGCATGTTTGTGGTCTTGATTGGAATGCAATATGAAATTCACTTAGTTAGTGCTTAATTAGTTTGTACTTTGTTGAATCTATTGCATGCGCTCTAAGACAACCAATTGCATGCCAGACATATGGAATGGATTTGTTGGTCATGGCAGAAAGTACACTTAGTCCATGTTATATCACCATTTTAATAGCACTGGAACCCACAATTATAGAAAATTTATGTTTTTGTCATTTGAATAATTATAAATTTATATAAATATAATGTTGTATATATATTTTTTAAAATACATAAAAAAAACATATTATTTTTTGCATATCTTTTATATATATAATTAAAATTATTTTCTGAAACTTTTAATATATAAAGATCTATTTGCTTTAAAGTTAAGTAGACTTAATTTCTATCAAATTATTTTTTTACCGATTTGTTTATCATTTAGAATTAATTTTGCACATTTTTTGAGACTCAAAACTTAATTTGCAGTGGAAGTTTGTCGAGAGAAAAAAAAAAGTGATTCCATGAAAACGGAGTTTAGTGGAACATACAAAGAGACCATTTACTATTGAATGTGGTTGAAATGCATTTACAGATCAATTGAATTACATATGTTATATTAAAATGTGTATTTTTTTTTTATTAAAAAGTATCAGAAATAATTTTATGACTTTAAAACAAACAAACCATAAACCATTTTGGTTGGTGGATGCTTCCTGTTCCTGAACTTCTGTACTGGATTTCCAGCAAAACGAGTAGCTCAGTACAACGCTTGAATAGAGTAATAGACAATAGATCAGTGTGAAGGAACCCTAACTCTTTTAAGAAATTCGGTGTTTAGAAATATGACCTCGTACAATGAATCAAAACAGCTTGTAATAACTCTATTATTTTTCTTTTTTGGCTTCATTGTTTTGGGGTTATGTGTTGACATCCGATGAATATAATAGTTAATTTGATAGAATGTGGTTCCCACCCTTACTATTAGAATAATGCATTTTTTACTTAATTTCTTTGACACTTTTTCACACACACATATAATATTTAATTTTCGTCATATGCTCATTTTATTTCACATATTTTTTCTTTTTATATGATATTTTTTGTTATAAAAAAGTGTTGTGGAAGTTTAATATGAGAATAATCACTACAAAACAATGAGAATGAAACTAACAGAAACTAAAGCCTAAGAATGATATTTGAGATATATACATTTATATATATTAACTCAACATGTAATGAAATACTAACTAACAGATTCTCATTAACAATTCTCTATTTTAATGAAACCCTAGAAAGTGACTTTGTACCCGTCTTTTTGGTGACGGTGATGGAGACTTTCAGATAAGGTTAGAACAAAACAATGAGAATGAAACTAAAATCTCCATTGCAACATATTTAATTAGTAGCATGGGTGCCAACAAAGATGAAATTAAGCATCGACCTATCAGGTTGTCAATAAATAAGTGATGAAAAATTCATGGGATCGATCTAGAAATATATCAGTAAAACTAGTGTTAGCAAATTCCTAGATTCTCCTCTATATATGAAACTCAGATCGATTAAATAACCTCAGGCTTTCTGTCTTGTGAACTTCGCACAATATCCTTTCATCTTGAATTAAGGATAATCCTTATCGAATTAGGACATGCTAGAACAGGTGGGATATTTGGGACTGTACGGACATTTTGTCGTTTGATTTCGTGAATGAATCACATCATGTGTGCAAACAGTTAACGAACATATATGCTATGAAGATTAGAGTTAATTCAACAACTGAATTCTTAACTCAGAACCAGTTAATTAAGGCCTGGATTCATACGAATCTCGAAGTTTACAAATCAATCAATAGAAGCATGCATAGACCAGAAGAACACACACACACACACATGAAACAACAAACGAACAAGTAATCAAGCTAGTTCTGGAACCTTGACACAATTAAATCCATTGAAGACCTGAAAATCATTACATTAAATATCTCATACTCAAAACCTTAATTAAACTGGCCTGCCTCAGACACATTCTACTGCACTAAGATATTGGTTTAATAATTAATTTAGTGCCTAGTTCTAGCTTGGGGGATAACTTGAATAGTGATCATGATCCTTCTCTTCTGGGGTGCTATTTCCTCTATCTTGGTTGGTGGTTCTATCTACCTCTAGCTCTCTATATCTGTGCAAATACCTTCTCATTGGCTCTGCATAGTCATCAAAACCAAGGGACCCCAATGCCCAGCAAATATCATCACCGTTCACAGTCTTCCTCCTTTCCTTCCTGCACTTCTCTGAAGCCTCACTGGTTACAAAGCTTATGAACTCCGACACACACTCTTGCATTGTTTCCTTCGATTCCTTTGAGATTTTTGCATTTGGAGGTAAAATCTGCTTCATGATCCTCCCAACATTGGCTATTGGCAACAACCGGTCTTGTTCCTTGATGCCACTATTGTCAACATTAGAAGAACTGCCTCCAACGTTATCCACCATCTTATGAGCGTGAAAACTCTCTTTTTTGACTGAGAATATGTCAAGGTCAGATAGAATCTGATATATATGTATATATAGATGAGTAAGTATACACTACACATGCAACGCGCTTAGTCACACTCACACATGAATATTAATGTTGTGATTTGTGTCTTGTTCAATGTGACATGCGAATGATGACAACACGGTCGGCTACAATATAATTGTGGGGTATGATGCTTCAACTTAATCAATTGGAGTACACTACACAGTCATTTTTCGTTGCTAAGTTATTTAGACAAAGTCCACCCAAGTGATCTTTGTTTTTCATTGGCTTGTGGACTGGTAATGGATGCTGAGAAGGCTTTTGAGGTAGTTGAAAAGAGTGAAACTCACTACTGAATAAGAAATATCCCTTCGAAAGCTCTAAGGTACAAGTAAATTGATGGGTACTAGTTACCATTAAAGGTAATTAAAAGACTCAAAATCACTACTCAATAAGAAATATTCTCACATGAGCGTATGATTTAGTGAAATATTCACAACTGCGTGCGTTTGAAATTAACCCCTTTTTTAAAAAGAAAGTATAGATTGTTAAAACAACTATAAGAAAATAATTATGTCTAAAATAAATTATCATCAAAATGAATTGAGTAATTCTGCAGATGGCCTCCACTGGTTGTTAACAATTAGGCCCTCTCAATAGCTATTTATTCAAAAATTTGAATTTAATTGCTTTTACATCTTACCTTGTCATCACTTATTATCAAATGCTACTAACTTTTATTATTAAGTTAACTATTATATGATCCTATTTATTGAAAGGGGTCTAGAGAGTGTGACAATATCAAATATTCACTGGACTAGCATGTAGTTGATTAGAGTGCGTGTTTGAACAAGTTATTTTATCGAAATAATATAAAAATTATTTAATTGGTTTAAAATATCTTTATATATGAAACTTTTAAGAATTTTAAAAAAAATATAATAATTAAAGTATTACCAACCAATGGCAAAATTATTTTTACTTTATATGATTTAATAAAGTTGATGTTGTTAACAAAAATAAAATAAAGTGGGCATTGTACGACAGGGAAGTTGGTTGGTGGAAATGGAATATTGGAATCGTTTAACGCTAAACAATCCAATCCAATTGTCAGTCAGTTCCCAAGTCGTTGGGATTTTTCTGTTTCCGCTTCTCAACTTTTCTTGCGCATTCAAAATTCAACGCTCCTTTTAAAATGCAAAAGAAATTCCAAGTAGCAAAATAAATATATTTTCAAATACATAAGTTTATAAATTGCTTTAGTTTAAATATATAACATACTTTTTGTATCTCATTATTTTAGGACTTATCACCTACATTTTTTGAACTTTATTTATATATAGATAAATCAAGAATGCCTTCCAAATTAATCAAACTCACCAAAATGTTAATAAAATTAATTTTAATTCAACTGAGGTTAAAATGTGTTAATAATTAATAAAAAAAATGTGTTAAAGAGAGCATTTTAGAAAGTGTATTATTAATAATTTTTTAATATGATATATGCGAAGCTTCACGTGTTGTTTTATTTAATAGGTAGGAAATTAAAGGGAGAGGTTGATAAAAGACAGTTTGTGAATATTTGTTTATGCGCTGCTCGCGTTTCGAAGGGTGTTTTCATAAATTATAATGAAATGGTTGTGTGGTGGTTATGGTTTTCGTGCTCCTTTCATTTCATATTTTTCTTGCTATTGTTTTTTAAATCTTGGTATCTTTTCTGTGTGCGTGTCAAGTTTAGGGCCAAGGACAATACTAACAAAGAAAAGTTTGGGATGTAAATTTAGAGGATAGAACACACGGTATTTTTGTTTTATTTTATCTTTCAAAGTACATTCGAGTTTTGGAAAATTAAAACTGTAGTTCTTTTAAAGATGAGATTAATCTTTAGAACGAATTAAATATGTTCGGTTCTATAATACAATCTGACTTGTACCAAATAAAAAGCTCAATGCAGTATGAGTAGACGGTGCATCTTCTTTTTGCAATATTTTACATTGTCATTCGAATTTGAACGTAAGATCTTCATCTATTACTTGGCCTAATTGTATTTTTAGTTCGGTATATGTGTAATTTTTTTTGTGCACTATTGATTAATAATTTATTATCACACATGCAATGATTTTGACAATTCATGTATTATCAAACTCATTAAACAGTGGGGAAATATATGCAATGTAACCCTTTTTTTATATAATAACAGTACATGTAAATTAACTTAAAAATAATTAATTAATTAATACCATTACTAACAATATATCCAATCATAGCAAGTGGATATAATACTAATTTGTAGTCATGTCTCTCCAAGGCAAGTGGCATAACGTTAACGACCGAGAATAAAATAAACACAACTAATTAGCAAACTCCTGAAGTCCTATTTGACAATGTACACTTACAAACCCACCAAGATTTGTCGATACCATAATTGTTTTTGCCTCACTCTACTACGATGCTTAAGACAAAGGAAACTTGGTGGAATCAACTAATTAAAGTAAGTCTCAATTTAAAATGGTATTCTAGTAGAAAGTAAACCTAGAAATTTGCAAAGTTTTAATTTAAGATGGTTTGGTTTATTCATTTTAAACTGTTGTTAAAACAGCAAAAGAAAGATAATAATACTATTTGGGATGATAGTTCTCACTGTCATCAGAGGATTCTTGCACAAAGTATATCTCATTTAAAATCTAGAGTTTCATTTTATTTTATTTTTGTTAGGATCACAAAAAAATTCTTAAGGTAGATTTGAGGAGGAGGATTTTTTTTTTAAGAGTTGGGTAGTTTCACAAATTTTTGTATATTTTGTTTCTTATTTAAAAAAATATTTATATAAATCTTTAAGAATCAGCATAAAAATAGAATGATAATTTCAAAACTAAAAATTAAAATTAAGATTAAACTGAAAAAATAAAAATATTTATTCAAAACAAACACCCTTCTCGTTCATCGATAAAAGTATGGTAAATGGTAATGGAGCATTGCCAAAGGGCAAAGGCCATTGCTTTACGAAGATTTAACTTATACGGTGCCTGCAAGCATTCCTTTGATCCACTAAAAGGGCACATTTACTTAAAATAGTAAAATCTTGAAAGATTTTCCCACATGTATATAAAAAGAATTCGTTATAATAATAATATCTAAAAGGGAAAAAAAATCCACAAGTATGGAGATTGGAGATTACTTCTCGTAAAAATATTTACAGTTAATAGTTTAGGCTAAATATGTAGAGATGAGCCATGTATATCCGTAGATTCTGGACGGTTTGAGAAATATAATATTGGAGAGTCGACATGATTCCAACACAAGAGATTGGTAATTGTTAAATATTCGCAAGAACCACACCAATGTTGAAAACTTGAAGCATGTATTTCGAAGCATAATCCTGTACACGTGTATATTATTGCATTAAGTTAACAATGGTCAACTGTACGATATGGTAACATGGATGGATATTCTGGGCATCTAAGCAATTAATGCCAACAGCATTATCATTATCAATTGATCAAGACATATTTTGTTTGTTGGAATCTGGTTAGGGGCAACTTCGTTTTATGCACCACAAGATTTTGTGACTGATTGTATGCTTCAAATTATGCTCTGCTTGACTGATGGAATAATAATTATGTACTAATATATAGATTTTATAGCTACACAATTAGCAAAAAGGCTAGATATATTTCTTTTAGTACAGAAGAGGGAAAAAATAAAACTTAATTTTCTACCGTCTAAAAACACTTTGAACGTAAAATTGCATAAATACTGTTAGGAATGTAGTGTTTCAAATGTGAGAAGAGACTTGATTGACTGAGTAAAGAATTCAATTTTATAAGTTTAATTTATAATTAATGTTAAACTAATTTTAAAATTTAGATTCGTATTGAATTTTTTTTAATTAATTATATTTGTGTAATTATTTTAATATTTTAAAATTATTTTTTAAAGTTTGATTTTATTTATTTATTTAAATTCATATATATGATGTTATAACTTTTTATTTTTATTTATTAAATTTTTGCATTAGATAAATTTATAAAATTTTATTCTAACTAATTTTTTATTAATTTTAATTTTATAATTAAAATTAAATACTTAAACTAATATTTTTAAATTAATTACGACTAGTATTTTTATCTTTATGTTTATTTTTTAATTTTTAAAATATTATAACATAATAATTTTATTATTAATTTTTATTTTTATAAATTTTAATTTATACTTTTATCATTAACTTTATTTATTAAAAATAAGTTTAAAAATGTTAATAAATATTTTATAATTTTTTATAAAATATAATATAATGAATAAATATTACTAAACTTTTTTAAAATACGTTAATTTAATATACCGGTGCTGACAAAAAATTAATTTTACTTTAAAAATTAAATTTATAAATATATTGAAAACTAATTTTGTTTTAAAAACTAAATTTAAAATTAATTTAACATAAAATTAAATTTTAATTTTAAAATTATGTTTAAATTATTTTTAAAAAATAAAATAAAATAATTTAAAATTTAACATGTATAATTAATTTGTACAGTAAATAGTTATAAAAAGTAAAATATATGCAAATATTTATTAATTTAAGATAATATAAAATAAAAAATTATATTATTAATAGATTAAAATATATTATAAATATAATTTATATTAATTATTAAAAAAATTAAATATTTTTAATGTAATAATTTAATAATAATATGAAACATATTTATAGTATAATTTTATTAGATTAAAATTGATTTTAAATTAAATTTAAATTGATTTTAAAAAATTAAAATAGATAAATTTAAAACTTAATTTATATAATTAGATTTTAAATAGATTTAGATTAATTTTTTTTTTAGAAATCATGGAGGGCGGCGTGTAAAATAACTAGACTCGCAAAATCCAGAGCATAGCGTGGTTTGTGAATTGAGATTTCACGGCGCGCATTATCAAAATCTTGTGTGTTTCGCGGCCATTGCCTCTGCTCGTG